CCTGCATGTTTGTAACTTCTGTGCGGCAAAAGCTTCCCCTGATCCTGTTTCATTACTGTGGGTAATCAGTATTTGCCAAGTTCTTTTTGTGGCATCTGTGTGATGTGGGAATGGGCCAGCTGCTGGATGGAATCACAAGTCATCACAGCTAAAACATTGCATTTTAAGGTGATGTTTGCGCTATTCTATTTTGAATTGGCTGTAGTCATGATAGCACAGTCCCTCCAGAAGTGCTGCGTTGTTTCTGGGTATTAAAATTGCTGCTGGGGATGCATCTTTGTAAATGGGAAACTGAGCATAAAACCCTACTGACTCTTACTGGCAGCTCTTGATTTAGAGGTGATTTTCTTACATCTTTCCTCTATTAGATATATTAAGGAATTCTATTTTTTTTTTCCAGATCCTTTTATCACAACCAAAGCAATCCCCTTTCCCTTCAGTCTTTTCAAGCTGAGAGACAGATTCTGCCAAAATCTGTCCCCCAGTGCATAACAGAAAGACAGATACAGGTAGGAAAGGACATGACATAATTTCTTCCTGCACTTGCCTGTTCTCTTCATGGCATACCTATATAAGCTGAGCCCATAAGCCTGTATTGTCATCTTACATAAATCAATCTAATCCTGGTTTATTTTTTAACCCTTCCCTCTTTTGCTTTTTCATACTTCTCTCTCCATCACCTATGTTGTCTTCCTCCAACCCTATAAACTGTTTGCAAAAATCAATACAAGGCAAGATGTGTCCAATGTGACAAGGACTTGCTCTTGCTACGGCCAAGGCCACCTCTGGGGGTCTTGCAGTCTGCAGCCCCCTCTGCCCAGCAGTAGGGGACTACGGGATGTTGTTTTATGGTCTTGGATGGTTTGAGGGTTCATTGTCCCCTGTCATTGTTATCAGAGGTTATACTTCAGTGGTGTGCCCTTCACAGTAATTTTATTGCTTAATTTTGATCTTTATCATACCAAGCACCTTGCACCAGGAGCAGAGGGCTGAGCACTGACACTGAGGCTCTTTTATAAGGTCCCCTGACATCTTCATTCCAACTTTCCAACACTATCTGCTGTGAGAATGAGCTTAAGATAAACATCTGTCTGAGGCTTATCTAGGGGAAGATTACATTCAGAGAGAACAAGAGAAGAATATGGGGATTTAAAACTTTTCCTTCCCTTCAAAATTAGTTTAAACTTTACATAATCTGAAAAAAAAAATCAGCACAACAAACTTAATGCAACATTCAATGAAGTTGTTTAAGAATTTTCTTCCTGGGGAATGAGCTGACCTTTTCCTAAATAGCCAAATGCCAGTGGCTTCTGTCAGAGGCACTCTTGAAAATGGCAGTTAGGTGTTTTAATGCCATCTCTCCCCACAGCTCCTATAGGAACTGGTTTTCTCAAGGCCTGGCTGTATTCGTCCTTACAAAAACCCTGAAGGGAACAGAGACACAATTATTCCTACTTTATCAGCTGGGAACCGAGACTTAGAAGGACAAATCTTGATTTTTGAAGCTGTTCTGGAGCAGTTTAGCTGCTTTGGTGGGTAACAAACTGCAGGCATGAGTCCAGGCACGGACTACCCAGGTGCAGGCCCCCAAGTCTTTGGATTTGAACATAGGAATTTCTGAGCGCACGTATGTGTGGAAACATATGGACATATGTATGAACTTCTCCTGTGGAGCCAGGCTGAGGGAGTTGGGATTGTTCAGCCTGGAGAGGAGAAGGCTCCAGGGAGACCTCACAGCGGCCTGCCAGGGCCTAAAGGGGGCTGCAGGAGAGCTGGGGAGGGACTCTTGGGCAGGGGGTGTAGTGGTAGGACATGGGGGAATGGCTTTAAACTAAAACAGGGTAGGTTAGATTAGACATTAGGAGGAAATTCTTCACTGTGAGGGTGGTGAGGCCCTGACCCAGGCTGCCCAGAGGAGCTGTGGCTGCCCCATCCCTGGCAGTGCCCAAGGCCAGGCTGGATGGGGCTGGGGGCAGCCTGGGCTGGTGGGAAGGGGTCCCTATCCATGGCAGGGTGTGGCACTGGGTGGTCCTTAAGGTCCCTTCCAACCCAAACCATTCTGTCATTCTATGAACACATGGACAAGCTGTCCAGAGGGTGGCCATTGTGAATTATCTCATGTCAAAGATGCAGTATGTATGTCTAGTCTGTCATGACTGTACCTGTGACTGCTCCAGAAGCATAAAAGCATGGACAGAGCCAGGATGAGACTCTTCAGCCAGGGGACCTCAGCTGAACTATCGCTCCAAGCTGTCTTTAAGATAATGGAGAGAAATAGTTGCTTCTACAGGGTCATTTGTCTTCTCCTGATATGGCTGTCACGAAGAATTGCTCTCTGAAATTGCCTGTTTCTATAGACTTTCATTGGAGTCAAGGGTTGCTATCCTGGACTGAGAAACACAGTTTATGGTGAGTCTCTCAGAGACAGGAACTGAACCTTAATCCACCCAGTGCCCCCTAACCCCTGGAGCAACCTTTCTAAGGCTTTGCATTAGTCAGGGCACATTGTCCCCATGTCTCAAAGAAGCTGATAAACTTTGAGTTCTCTAAAACCTCATCGCTATGGTTAAACTGACTTATACTGCACACCTGGCTTCCAGAGGATGTTCTCCAACAATTAGGCCACATCACCAGGCAAGGCAGCAGAGTTAGAAGGAAAACTGCCCCACATAAAATATTCTGGATTTACATTTACAGGCTTCACAGTCATGGATAAATCATGGAAGGAGAACTGTCCACGTTGCAGTGACATAATCCATGGCCAGAATATAGGTGAGCATCCCCAAAGGGAATAGCACTTAGCTATTCAGCCTTAAACACAGCAGTAAAGAGAAACATGACCCATATCTGAACTCTTTAATTCTCTTAAAATCTGGTTTCTCCATAATTTTGTTTGCCCTGTCATGAAAAGAGAGGTGAGTTTTCTGGAAGAGGCTGTGGTGAGGGGTCAAAAATTTCCAGATTACAAACACTGGTGCAAGCTTGCACTGTAGAATTAAATGAATTTAAAAATAAATTATAAATAAATAATAATAATAAAAAGTTCTAGACTTTGTCTGCACATTTTGACACCCTGACCTGCTCCCAAGAGTCAGCACTAGCCATTGCATTTGCTGCACCCTCCCTCCTCATTTGTTACTCTTGTCCGTGACAAATCCAGTCAAAGCAAGACATGGCCTCACTAAGCATGGCTTTTCTTGCATAATTTACAGATCCCTCAATAAATAACACCTGGTGTTATTTCTGGGGCAGACAGCTGTGTGCAGCCGCTGTGAGGAGCACCAGTGTTGTGCTGCACTATGGTGTGGTAGCAGTACATGGCAGGGACGTGTAGCCAAGGCTGGAGGGGAGGATTAAAATATCTGCCAGCCCATGCAGGGAAACCTGCAGTGCCAGGTAATGCTCCCTTGGCAGTCATTTTCTAGCAAGACTTCATCAGACAAAATGGCACCAAGAAGCCTGCACCACCTTGGTAGCCAACAGGAGCTTGTAATGCTTGTTTGCATTAATTAAGCTCTAAACCACTATTCCCATAATCAAGGACTCTGCAGGAGGCAGGTTTCATCTCTTGTGAAACCTCCAAATTCAAATTTCATCTCCAAATTCTGGATGCCCTGTCTTATACAAAAACATTTGAACAATGCTCTAGAGACAGGAGATGGAGAGAGGGGCCCAAGAGGTTACTGCACGAACCTACTTTTCTATTATCAAACTGAAAAAGGCTGCTATAATATTCCCAGCCTGCATGAACACATATTACTGCTCCAGTAATCTTATTCTACAGTAATTCCTTCCTGCACTATCACCTCTGATCTCAGGAAAGTTTTTTTTTTATTATTTTTTAGCAGGAAAATGCTCATACAATTCACATGAGCCTGCCAGAATGGCCTCTCTGGGATGATAGTCCAAATACTAGAAGAAGCATCCTTTTGCCCTGACAGGTGTGATGTGAACGAGATGAGAAGTCCTTTGTCTTTTTTATATGGCATATATGGTAAGTGTCTAGATGAAGAGAGACTGAATTCAGTCTTGCATGCATGAAAGAAAGTTTTACACACCGAGTGGCTAGCAACTTCTTAGTGTCTGATAGGCAGGATGCCTCTCCTAACCCCATGACCTTTAATTCTGCTAAATACAACGTATATGGGTCAACAGCTTTTGGAGAGGTAAGACTACGGAGCAATCCTGCACTGACACTGAAATAATTCTGGTGTATGAAAAGTCAGAGCAGCTGTGGCTGCTTCCACATCCACAAGCAATGCGGCTTGCTTGTTGCCAGTGATCCTTAATCCTCTTTGAACTCCTGACTTTACATATCGGATGGTTGCTCCATGGAGTAATTTCTGTGTATTATTGTCCATTCACTGTAAGTATTTTACAAGGTGATACAAAGTCAGGAAATGTATTCTCAGGAGACACAGACACAAAGGTTACTGAATGCAAATCAGATATTTGTGTTAGCACTGATATCTGGCTTGTTTGTAAAACCAGGAGCATGGTATCAAGTGTTAAAATGGGAAAAATTCCCTCCACATACTGTGAAAATGCTGGCAACCCAAGGGTAGCAAGTGCCTGCGGGTCTGGTAATTCAGTATGGTCACTGCTTACTAAACACAGTAATCCTTGTAGCCGCCAAATAAAGGGATAAAACTACTTCAGCGGGCAAAATGGAGTCTCTCTTAATCTGGGGAGAAGAAATAGAAGCCTTGAGGTCTGTATCAGAGCATGGACAAGGGAGCTCAGTGCTTGCTCCCCAAGTTACCTATTCTGCAGTGGTCTGGGCTTTCCTTAACGCCCTGGCTTCAGGAGTCTAGTGATTACAATTTTTAAGCAACTTTTAAAGAATATTTTAAAGCATTTTTTTTTTTGTCGTACAGTAGAGAAAATATTGTACACAATATATTATTGCAGTATGAAAATATGATCATAGATGCTGAAAAGTTAGAAGCAAAATCAAAAAAAAAAGAGGGAGGATGAACATTTTCATGATTTTTTAAATGCTGTTTTATTTTTCTACCCTGCTGTTAGGGTCAGAAAGGGAGAAAACAAGGTAGGCAGTCACATTTGGGAGTATTTATGTTAGTGATCCTAGCAGCACGGGGATTGTGCTCCCACAGAGGAGGATGCTCCCACAGACTGCAGTCACTCAGTGCTGGGTGAAAGGGCATTCCTGCATGTATACATTGTACTGGCTAGGAATTTCTTTCCATGCTTATTTGTTTATTTTCCCTTTAAAAAGATTTATTTTTTAATATAGAGATTTGGTTTCCTTACAATATGGAGATTTGTTAATCATAAGCAAACACTTCTCACAACAGATGGCTTCACCACAGAGTTGATTTCTTGGTGAAAAGAGATTTTGAGAGGGGAACAACATTTGGCTCTCCTTTCCCCCAGTCCTAGGGGGGAACTGGTGCTAAAGCTTCGTGGTCAGAAATGCATCAGCCATGTGAATCACACCCCAGGGTGAACCTGCCTTGGAGGGGATGCTGGCATAGTGTGCAAGTTGGTTTCAGTCCAGTGAAAGTACGCATGGTAAAATTAATCCCCATGCTTTAGGCTGCCAGTGCTGTGCTGTAGGGCAAGTCCTTGCCTGACAATGTCTCCATGCACCTTCCTTGCAGCCTGCTGCCTGTTTGCAGTGGTCTATGTCTTCAGTTGTGGAAGGGAGGTCATTGACCAGCTGCTTTCTCATGTAGACATTTGCCTTGTTTGCTTGCACTTGCACCAGCCTGATGGACAGTGTTGGGGCTATCTTACACAGAGAGACTGAGGGCTCCAATCCCCCTTCTGTCAAGCTTGTCCTAGGGAAAAGAGCAGAAAGAAAGGAAAAACTTTCTGGACTCAGCTCATATATGGGAGGTCTGGCTATGGATCACATCAAGGAGCAGCTCTGCACGCACATCCCACAGGAAGCATCTGCTTTAATAGGGCTGGTGCAGCATGTGGGGCCACATCTGGGACTGAAATGGAGAAGGATCATGGAGTAAGAGACAGAATAAGCTCTGCCCTCTGTTGCATGTGTCGAAATCCAATGTCAGGACATTTCCCAGAGTCTCTACCCACGCATCTGGACCCTTTGTAGGAAAATGTGGTAGGGTCTTGGGAGAAACAACCTGAAGGACTTTGTCAAATTTTATTGAGGAAGGAGAAGTGAGGAAGATTTCACTAGCTAGGTATCAAGTATATGCTAGAAGAACATACTGCCAGTACTTCAGCACAAATTTAGAAATACTGTTTTGTCCTGAGATTCATTTCTGGTTTTCCTTAATAACAGAGAAGTATGAAGTACACAAAAGTATGAGAAAATTTCCTGGAATATGTCTTCTTTTGCTCCGTCTTTTACTTAATGGAACAGATCCTGAAATATGAAGACACTGGGAGTGCCAGGGCCAAGGTAACTTGAGGCTGCCTTGCGTCGTGGTACAGCCTAGGGATACTCACATTTGTGAAACAGTCAGGATGTCTTCTACCCTCATAGGAGCAAGTGTCTGTCACAGGCTGCTGTCTTAACAGATAAACAACAGGAAAATGCTTTTACTGATAACATACATAAAGAAGGGAGAATGGACTCACTGGAATCACTGGAAGCCATAGGCATGGGCTTCTTGACAGGGGACAAGTGAAAAAGATGCACTGTGAGCTGCTCTAGCTATGATTTACGTCAGTGCCAGCATGTAAATCAACACTACACAGTGTCTTCTCTGAAACAGCTTTCTCCAAATTGTTAGATATTTTCCAAATAGGAAAAACAGATATTTCAGTCCCTTTTTAAATTGCATGCTGTCCATAAGCATTGCCAATCACCCTTGCCACCTCATTTTGGAGGACAGATGCCAAAGGGGTCTCACACATGATATGAGGCTCCCACTGGCCACCCCTTTCCTCCAGCAAGGGCTGTCCCTCTGGTATCAGCTGTAGAGACCCTTGCTTGAAGACATGGATTCCATCTATAGTCTTGTCCTCTTCTCCAGAACACCACCAAATGCACCAGTAATGTACTGGGCACGTGGTGCGGCCTAAAACGGTAGCCTAAATTGACACGGCTTTTTTATGGACTCAACCTCACGTATCATCACCGTAGCCCACCATTCAGCAAGAGGGGTGTTTTGTCCAGTGGCTGGAAGCCAAAGGAAGGATCTGCAGATTCATTGCTTCAGCTGGTTGAATGCCATAACCTGCTCCTGCTGCAACTAATAGGCATTGGCATAAAAGGACTAAAATCTGGCCTTGCTCATTCTGGAGTGGATTTCAACAAGGTCACACCAGGCAGCAGAAGGTTTTGTGAAACAAGAAACTTTATCTGATAACACGTCTCCAAGACCCCTTGTGATCCTCCACGGGGAACAATCCCTCTTCCCCAGGATCCCCAGGGAGCACTGAATCACACCACGCTCTCAGGCCTTATCTCCAAGGTGCCATCCTCCCCTCAGAGGCCCAAGGGTTGAATGGTGACAGATGTGCTTTCAAGGCATGTCAAAGCTGTCTGTGATAACTTCACATGAACGTGAGGAAGAGCTGCAACGAAGGCCAAGCCCAGGTTCAGGAAGGGCCTAAGCCAGGAACCCCCTCAAACCTCATTGCTTTCTGCTCAGGACAGGGCATGCATCTTCACCTTGCCTTGTCCATCACAACAAGAGCCCAACATTGTTTAGTATCCTCAGAAGACACTTGATAAAACCCGATGGTGGTGTTGCTGGGGCAGCGCTGTGTGGGTGAGAGCTACCATGCTGATAAGAGCTAACGAGCTTACAGAGCACCCGCGGTGTGATAGCAGCAGCTGCAGTCGATCCTAGGGACATTCCCCAGCCACCCAGTGAGTCGGCAGAATTGTTAATCCTGGGGCATTAGTGATCTGAGGAGGAAACGATGGAAGAAGCAGGCTGCTGCTTGGTCAGAATTGCAGGGGGGTGTCTCCCATTCCCACCCTCAATGTGAAACTCAAATGCAGGAGCCACGGGAACTCAGTGTGTAGCAAGCTCAAGAGGAACATCTGCAAATGCTGCACTTGCTAATTTGTCTTGTTTTCTCAAGCTACCATCAGATTTAAGAGAGGGTTTTGCTAGGGCCTGCTCCAGGGAGGTGGGATGTCCAAGGAGCCAGAGAAGTGCCCAGAACCAAAGTCTAGGGTATTGATTATTGCTGGGGTCTCGGCCACAGGTCTTGTGGTACCTCCTGCTGTTCCCAGACATCCTCTGCAGTTTCAAAAGCAACGAAAATACCAACCTTGCGATTCCCAGCCTCTCCTCTAACACCCAGGGCTCCGTTTCTGCGTGTTGGTGACTGCCTCAGATGCCAGCATACGTCTTGAATTCTTCTTTTTAAACACATTTTCCCTTCAGGAAGATGAGACGCATTGAAATGTCAGAACAGGCACTCCTTTCCCACTAGGTCATGCTAATGAGCATCACTGAAATATTCTCATCCCTGAGCCTCTACAGCAGGTGACTTACCGTGTTAACTAGTATCATGTTCCTCAGCAGCGACAGATAAGGACCAGGCCAGCACATATCAGTCCAGTTAATTGATCTGATCTTCAGCACACCCCTGGTAGTCCATGGAGCAATGATCTGTGATGTATGTTTCAAAGATGCTATAGCCCCTGCTGTAATCCAAAATACTCTCTAGGGACCCCTTAGGTAAAGCTTACCACCTTAGGGGATGCCTGCATGGTGTGGCTCTAGCATAGCTTACACCAGGTGTGACATATTTTCTGAAAAGACAATCATTTAAAATCCTTGGATGCTGCAGAAAATAACTAGCATTTTTTTTCCCTATGGATAATTAAACTTTGCTTTATTCAAAGCCTTTCAAAGAGCAGCTGGCAGAAAATAAACCCTCAAACTCCAAGAAATGAAGGAAGGGTTGCTTTTACAGAGATGGCTAAATTACACACACGCTTCAAAAAGAGAGCACTGGAAGCAGCAAAGAGGCGGCATTTAGATGCAGTCCCTTGTTCTGTGGTTGCCAACAAAGGCTTCATTGTCACTGGACAGTGCTGCAAACTCCTTTTTTAGTTCAATATAAACAGCCTTTTAAAATCCAAGGAAGTCTTTAAAAGGCTGACAAATTGGGGGAAGAGAAAAATTGTAGTTTTGTTACATTGGAAGCTGCTCTGCAAGCAAGGGGAACAGTCTCATATTTCTGGCTGTATTTGCTTCTGCCAGCCTTACTCCTCATTTCTGGCTTACAGGACAGTCATGCTGAGATACTGCCACACGCATCTGCTGAGAAGAAACAAATGGAAAGGGCTTCCCTCCCTAAGGACACCTCATCATTTTACTGTGTGATGGGCAACATCACCATTTTTCACTAATTCCTGAGTGTCTCAAAGTGTGGCAGTGTTCTTATTAGGCTTGGGGGCGGAGGAGGTGGGCTGGACACAGCCTTTATTTTCTTCTGCAGAAAGGATCCTCCACCCTCACGAGCCTCTCATTTCCATAGTTATGTCCCACACCTGACTCATTACTGCAGGTAAGGAGCATGGAATTGTTGTTCAGGCACACAGCCCAGCTTGATTTAATTAGTAGCTTTTTTATTTATTTATTTTAATTAAGTTTTACCTCTAAGTTGTAGCAGGCACATGCTAATATAATAAATAAATAAATAAAAATTAATTCAGATTTCATTGGCATCAAGAAGAAAGGTGTGATTCCAGCTTAATTACTTAGATCGACAGAGGTAGAACTCTGATGTATCTGAGAATGGGTTGCAAGCAGTGTTCATAATTCAACCACCACATTAAACCTGCAAACAAAGGCATTTACCATACGCCCTGAGGCTGTCCTGCAGTGTTTACTGACATGGTGGCTGTACAATTTGATGACAGCTGATGTACAGCTCTAGGAACATTTTTACTCTTTCCATTAAATAATTTATTAGACCCATAATTACGCTGTGATAATTGCCAGTCATGAAGAGAGACTTCTGGTGTAGGCTGCGGGTACTGGGACGTACCATAACACTAGGTTCCCCTAATTTTCTCAGCTCAAGAGCCCAATTTATGAGTTGTCCAAACATTGCTCACATGTTGCTAAGAAATCTGAGTCTCACAGGACCCTATCATGACCAGGGCCCCTGTTGGAGGGCCCTGTTGCAGGAAAGGAGGAGTTGGTGACCTTCTGGTCCTCCTTTCAGAAAGGGGCACACTTGTTTGGTCTGTGAGTCACTGCACACTTGGAAGAAATGTCTAGTTTGCCTCCTCATTGCCAGACATATCCCCAAGCTCATCATTTTCTACCAGGAGGCAGAGAGAACAGCCATTAAACCCAGCAGTGAAAGAAGAAAATCACATGCACAATTTGCTGCCTGTGCCTCTCCCCTGGGACTCCAGTTTAATGCAATTTGGTGTATCCCAGCCGGTGGTGCTTGGCTGCTTTTAATTAAAAAAAAATTAAAGGATTTATGTTGGGATTAAATGGGATAATTATTGATTGATCTCTGCCTTCTAAATTGAAAAGCATTTGGATTAATCAGCTTTTAAGTAGGAAATCACTCAGCTCTGGTCAGGAAACCATCCTCAAGCTCTGCACTTTGCATCTAACAGGGCTTTATTTTGTCCTGTCCCCCAAAACCCAATGGGAAGGATTTTCCTTTCTTCTTGGTTCATCGTCAGAGCTCAGAAGAAAACATGCTTTCACTGAGACAGGCTTTAGGTCACAAGTGATATGATGAAATATCTCGCCACGTAAGCTTGCACTGCTCACAGAGAGCAAGATGTATTGAGCATCCCAATACATCTGGCCAGGAGGTCTAGCATCCTCCAAGACCCTTGTGCTAGGGACTGGGCAACCTATCTCCCCAGTTGGTCAAGTGGTCAAGTCAGCACTGGAATACTCCATGGATGGAACAGGTTTGTATCAACAGTGATGCTTGTAGATCTGCCTTGTATGTCAGATGAAAAGCTGGTGGCCAAATGGACAAGTCAATGATCAGAAGGTACTTGTAAATAAAATGGTGTAAAGCTTGCACTTGTTCTAGTTCTGGGACTGCATACCACTCCATCCACGCAAGCAGTTGAAAATTGGGTTAAACAGGTAATGATGATGATAGGACAGTATGCACTAAAAATAATAATGGTACACTCAAAATACTAATATCTATATCCCCAGCTGCACAAGTAGGCTGCTGACCTAAGCACTGTGTGTTGCAGTTTCTGTTTTTAGAGCAAAAATACCACAGCTGTGTGACCCCCAGCTCTGTTTGGATTATTCCACAAGTCATGTTAACCCCCAGGAAACCCCAAATCTGGAGGAAAAAACTTACTATTTCGGGAGAAATGTTATTTTTAAAAACAGGGAGTTCCAATGCGATTTTTCAACTTCTGAATGAAATTCCCAGTTCCAATGAGTTGTATTTCCAATGCCAGGATTTAGAAGCAAGTTTTGGCTTTCCCATTTGTGAGTGAGGAAAGTAACATCCACTTCACAATCTTTGTCTTCTAATCTACCTCATGCTGGGAATATTTCTTATTTTATTTTAAAAAGCTCCTTCTTCCTCTAAAAATGAGTATCTTTAAGAAACTGTATTATTATTATTATTATTATTATTATTATTATTATTATTATTATTATTATTATTATTATTATTATTATTATTATTACTAATTTTGATTCTCCAGTAGAAGAAAGGAATGCTTCTGCAGGAGGATATACACCCAGGGAGACCTTTTTCTAGGAAGAAGCATTTCTGCTGAAGTCCTTTAATCCACTAAGCTGCCAATCCATTGTTGACTCACATGCAAACCTCCCCCACATCTAATCTACCGGAGGTAGGTGACCTGGCAGCGTAGTGGCAGATTACATCCCTCTGCAGATGTAAGGTAATTCATACTTGGAAAGATGATTTGAGTTCCCCGCACAGTAGTCAGCTCTATATTAATCGCAACAAAGACTTTGCTTCACTGTGGGCAGCCTCGCTTCCATGGGCAGCTGAGCTTGGAGAGAAAGCTCCCACATTGCTTCGGTCACCCTCTGAGCACCCTGAAGTTATAATCACACTGCCCATAACCCTGAACAATCCCTTCTGCACTGCTTGATAGGAAGAGTGTGCTCAGAGCTGACCAGCCTGGCTCATGAGCGTGTCGAGAGCAATGGATGAGACCAGGTAATGATGATATAAATGTGGGTGAACTCTGAAATTACTTGTCTCATCTCAGCCAGAGGGAATAGCTAGAGACATTTTTCTGCAGTGGCCCAGTCTTCAGCTGGTGCATGTCTTGGGTACAGGGCTCCCATAAGATGCTTGCTAAGGGACATCAAGAAATGAATGAGCTCCAGCACACACTGCCAGCTCCCATGGGGCCGGTTAAGCCTCTCTAGGTGCGCGTACAGGTCTGCATTTGGAGATGAGCACAAGGGAAAGCAGGCTTGTCAAGGCCAGGCTGGATGGGGCTTTGGGCAGCCTGGGCTGGTGGGAGGTGTCCCTGCCCATGGTGGGGAGTTGGGACTGGATGGGCTTTGAGGGCAGCACGTCTCCCTACCATGTCATCTAGGTATTTCCAGAGCCTGATTTGATCAGGTGCAGCACTTAGATGAAAACTCTATCCCAACAAGGCTTTTCTCCTTTGGGCTTGGTGCTGCAGAGCATGGGACATGGGATGCAAACAGACCCAAGGGATCCTGCAGACATCAATGCAGACTCAGGAGGGTTCATTGGGCCCTGTCATACCCCATCTCCTTCTGGGCAAAGTAGCTTGTTTTGATTTATCCCAGGCCTAAACAATAGTAGAAAAAAAAAAAAAAAAAAAAAAAGAGGTTTGGGTGTATTTTTTAAGAATAGACTTAAGTAAGACAGTGAGACACAAAAAAAGAATTGGTTAGAGAATATAACTGCATATACTTTTCTGTATTGGCCATTGCATTAAAAATACATAAGAGCCAGTTACATAAAAATTCATAGGCTAGACATGAATGCAGGCAAGAACGTGTAAAATTGGCAACTTTTCCCAAAGTAAGCAAGTCGATTTTGACATTAGGAGAGTGCAAAACCAACATGACAATGTGCTTGGGGGGAATAATTTTGCTCAGGATTTCTTTAAACTACTGTATTGTGCCATACACCATGGTGAAATTTAACCTGCTCTCAGATCTGTTGGTCAGAAGTAACTGCTGCTTATTTAACATCTGATAGCCTCTTGGCTAGTGACCTCCTGGTTTGGCCAAGGGGAAGCAGCATATCAAAGCCTTAGTTCTAGATCAGCTCCTGAACCTAAAAATAACTCCCTTTCTCCATTAGAGGAGATTAAAATCACCTGGGCCAGCAATACAGCTCCATCTCCCAGACCACAAATGGAAGGAGAAGCTGAAGTGTTCCATAAAAAACTCAGGTTGGACCAGTCCTGAAACATTAAAGACTTGGACTGGACTTCACTTTTCCAGAAAATATGTAGCAGGGCATTCTCCCTAACAGTGTCTTAAGGCATTTTTTATTTTTTTTTCATCCTTCAGCTAATGTGCTCACTGTGAGTCTGGTGTTGTCACCTCAAAAAGAAGAGGCACAGTTCTACCAGTCAATCAATGACCTTTTTGAGTTTCCTGCTTTCCGATTTCAGAAGCCATACATACCAGACATCAAGTGCCATTTAAAAGCCGACTCATGTGCCAGCTATCACTTTCCCTGGAAACAAGGGGGCAGACAACACGCTGGAGGTCAAGGCTGCAATCCAGCCAGAGAAATGGGCAAACGGGAACTTCACGGAGTGCCCCCAGAACAAATGTGGAGTCCTACACCTTCCCACTTCAAGGGAGATGTAACAAACTGGAGCTTTTCCAGCAGAGGGACAGACACCATGATGGCCAGGGTATTGGGGGATACAGAGTGAGAGAAGAGCAGGAGAAAGCTTGTTGTCCTCAGCCTGGAGAGAAAGAAAGGACTGAGTGGGGACTACACTGCTGCTTTCACCTACTTGATATGGGATCATTGAGAAAATGGAGACATAATCTTTTTCTTAGGAAGCATAAGGAAAAAAAAATAAATTGGTTTAGATATAAAGGAAAAAAACAATCCCAGTGAGAGGGAAGCAGCCTGGAACAGGGGCCCAGGGAAGCTGTGCCACCTCTGTCCATGCAGATATTCAAAACCTCATTAGATGGAGGCCTCGGCAACCTTATTTGTCTTGGATGCTTGAAGCGAATCCTGCTTTGAGCAGGGTGTTGGACCTCCAGGGATGCCTTCCAAGCCAAATTATTCTACAATTATTCAGTAGATTACTGAAATTGACATTACAAAGCATGGATTTTAATCTGAGAGCTCCAGGCAATCTTTCGGATGCCTTCAGTCCATGCTTTTAAATGCTTGCAGGGTAGACACTAGAGCTGTGAGCTGATCTGCCATTCCCTGGGCAGAGTGGGAAGCAGAGGAGAACTGATGTGTGTGCAGGAGCCCGTTATTATGGGCAGGAAATGACAGAAAGGCTAAATTTTGGGGTGATGCTGTTGCAGGTGTTCGTGGTATAGGAGGACACCATGCCCAAGGATCAACTGAGTGAATACCCTGCAAGGTGCTGAGGTATCAATAAGCCCT